GGCAGACTGGTGCAAACGCAAAGGACGATCTACCAAGAAGCCCATTTAAGGAAAAGCATGCATTTATGGAATATGGAAAAGACCTTGGGAGTTCAAGTGAAAAACAACAATTATTGGTAACTAAAAACATAAATTAATCATAATAAAATAATTTTTATTGCATTCTTTAAGCACTTTATAGGTTTCTGAACTCGAAGCTATAAATATTTTAAATGTAGATAAATATTTAAGAACGTGCTGGCGGAAAATTATTACAGATGAGGTAGCAGAACTTTTCTCGTGGAAGGGAACTGGTACCAAAAGCAGCGCTATTGGTTTGGCAACGACTGCGGCAATAAGAAGTACGGATAATAATATTATTTATTACCACTTTTTACTTAATTAAATTTTCCGATTTCCAATGGAGTTTAATCTTTCACTTTATTTTCTTAGGTGCTTGTCGTCAAAAATTTAACTCCGACGAAGAAGTTTTTATTTCCGTTTCAAAGAAGCACTTCCAATATGCACACGACCGGCAAAAAAAAATGGCCAGCCTATCGGCAAAAAAGATAAAAATAAATTCAGCTACTTTATAATATATATTAAACCCCTCTTATTTAATTGTTAAATTGTTAATAGATAGTTTGTTAATATTTATTTATCTGAAAATATCTTCACATATACAGTGCCGGGAAAAAATATTGGCACAGAGAATTTTTCGCCATGAATGCAAAGTTTTTTATTCTGATTTCTTCTCTAATTGTTTTTTATAAAAATATAGCTAGTATGAAGTTCTACTTTCAAATCAGATTTTTTAGAAAAATTCTAAGTATGCAGTTTTATAGCCCATTTAATTTTAGTATAATAAAGTGCACGCTTGAATAGCTAGAAAACCTCTTTGTTTTTTGGCAATTTTTTATACGCAGTTTCTTCCATACAAGAAAAAATGTCGCACATAATTTGCATGGAAGAAACTGCGTGAAAAAATTGCCAAAAATCAACGCGGTTTTCTGGCAACTTCAAGCTTGCACTATGTTATACTAAAATATAATGGGATATAAAACTGCATACTTAGAATTTTTCTCAAAAATCTGATTTGAAAGTAGGTCTTCATACTAACTATATTAAAAAAAAAAAATGTGCGAAAAGAAATTCAAGTAACAAACTTTGCACACATTGCGAAAAATTCTCTGTGCCAATACTTTGATCCGGTACTATAAATATTTATTAATTATAATTCCATTCAATAAAATAACTACAATAATTTGAATTTATTAATTGCCTTTATTTTTAGCATTCAAAAACAGTAGATAAAGCAGTGTAAAAAAACGCTTTTTTAACGTAAATTAATCGTTTACGAGACTCGTTTACAATTAAAAAACGGACGTAAAAATATTCGCATACGAATGCTTTTTCGATCCGTTTACGACTGTTCGTAGGCGATGCACAATTTAAAGCGAAAAAGTGCTCGAAAAAGAGTCGTAAACGGCTATCATAAACGATTTTTAATCCGGTTTTTCTTCGAGAAAATATTCAATTACGAGCTTGTTTACGATGATTTTGCTGGCTGGGCCATAGGCAATGACTGGTGCAAAAGTACCCCCAAATGTTTGTTGATATATTTGAAATGTAAATTTTAACAGCGAAATTCGTAAACAAAAAATAATAAAACAAAAATATTGTTGATGTGAGGTGGTCGTCGTTATAGACAGATTTCACCAAAATTTAATACTATCCTAAGTTATACCAAAGGCAACTTCGGCACCGACTTTCGTTAAAATATCTAAATTTTGTTCGAGTTAGCGTGTTTACAAACAGATTCGACTGAACCAATTCATTTCGTCATTCTGAATATTTTGATAAATATGTACGTAAATAATATGTGTATATACATTTTATACTGTTGAAAAACGGCCTTGCTTATCTGCATAAACCTATCCTGCATTAGTTCGAGCGTCGATATATAACTTTGGGTACATGTTTCATAAAAACTTTGGAGATCTCCACTATAAGAGTGGTATATTTTTAAATTAGAGAGTTCTACCTTTAAGCTAAGTAATACTTGTTTTACTCCCTAATTTATGGGTCCATTTTCCAAAATCAGCCCACCATTATTGACTCAAAGTTGTGTTTGGAACCAGATATGACTGCATCCGGTTATAATCGCTTACGCTGCAAGCTTGATTTGCTAGGAATTTTGTTTTTCTCGTTGTTTTATTTAAAGTGACTTGGAAATATTTGCCACTATAAGAAAATATTGAAATTGGATTTCATTTGGGTTAAAGGAAACGACAGCTGTGAAAAAATATCAACCAATACATTCAAATAAATTGTCAAATAAGGATATTTACATTTTTTGTTTTGCCTATCTGGATTACTGTATACTGTGGAAAAAAGCAAAAAAAAAATTCCTCGAACACGTGTTAGCTTATTTCATGTATAGAACCCATAAACAAATTTGGAGCCAATCGAAAGTGTGACATTTGTGAAATTTGGTGTCCGATATGAAAAAGAATGTCTCATATATTAAATTTAACTTTTTAAACAGGTGGCAACCCACACACATATAATTAAGAAATAAAGCCTTTTCAAAACCATTTCGATCGATACTTATGCTGTAATAATTGATTGAACTTATAAATAATTTGAAATAAATTTTTTAACAGGTAGCAAGTCTTTTTGAAAAAATAAAACGTTATTATCAACAGGCCAAGCCTTTTAATTTGATACCTCATTTTGTAAAACCGAACGATCTGATAACAGATCTGATAAGACAAAAAGTTTTCGTGTATTATGCATTGATATTTCAATACATAGATTACTAAAAGAGAAACAGATCCACATTAACTCCAATCAACATATGTGCGTATGTATGTACATATGTACATAAGCCGCGATTAGATTATAAATATTTCCCCGGAGCTGCAAAATCTGTTACTCAAAAGTCGAAACACACACATACTTTTTGTCTCCTCTCTCACTTGCAGCGCAAGCACATGTTTGCAGAATTATGAAGTGATTTTGTATTAAAAATCATTTATGCACATATCGAGGCCTAACCGCCAAAATAACGTAAGTGAAATTTTTTTTTAATTTTATTTTTGATGCAGAAATGCATCTAGATGCTCTAGGAATATTTCTGCATCAAAAAGAAAATTTTGAAAAAAATGTCGCTTACCTTATTTTGGCGGTTAGGGCTCGATATAATTGAATCAAATTAACACACACCCAAATTCCAAAAAAAAAAATGGCTTTAACTACTTTATAAATACAAAAATTTTATGAAAATTTCACTTTATAAAGCTCTATAAAGATATCATCCACTACTTCCAATATACCAAACGAAAGGAAAAACCTTAAATTTTGTATTAAAGAAACCAAAACCAAAATCATTCGAGCGGTTTTCGAGCATTTTGCTAATAATAAAATTAGCTATTTTTTCAACAATTGTTGCCTTAAAATGCTCAATTTTTGTCGAATTTATATAAAATTTGTACACAATAACATTTCCACTGCTCTGAAGAAGTTATGTTCCGAAAATGAAAGTTATATCTGCAAAATCTAAGTAGGGACACGATATCGAATCGAAAGTATCGATTTGGTACTCATTTAAAGTACCGCTGTAAAAATATCGGGTGCCAACTAATATCGGAATAAAAAGACTCGATATCCCAAATATCGATATTAAAATAAAAATAAAAAATTCTCTAAATATTGGTGTCTTATGTAGGCCGCCAAGGCGAATTTATACAAAGTGTAAAAATTTAAATTGGCCCCAAAGTTTACACGTATCTTGTTTTTGCTTTTGATGGGTGTGCTGTCAAAGCAGTAAAAGCAAAAAACAAAATACGTGTAAGGCAAAGAAATTAGCTGGGCACTATTGCACCAACGAATTATGATTAGCATTTTAGCAAATTATCGAACTTGCGCAAAGGTATGTGTTTCACCAAAATGATAAGGAAAAGTCACTCAAATGAGTATTGATAAGTAAAATATCACTCAAAATCATAGATAACCGTTGCACCAAAATTTAAAATGCTTAGCGAAAAGATTTTAGCGGATAAGTGATAAGTTATGTAAATTATCAAAATTTATTAGCATTTCGTTGCATCAAAAATTTTTATTTATCACTTGTCATTTTTCATTTTGCTAACTTTAGCATTATTTTGCTAAAAATAATTTTACCTATCATACCAGCGATAAGTTACATTTATTCAGTCTGAATGAATTAATCAATGCTTTAACACGAGATTCGATAAAATATTGACACAAACAATGCTTCGATTCGAAATACTAAATTTATTAGAGGACAGTCTGCAAATAATAAAAGGCGTGTCATAAAAGAAGAAATCAACTGCAGTTTACATATTGGTCTAGTAGAAAAGTTTTGCCTATTTCGTAGCCAAATTGAAAAAATTTTATTAACAATTGAAGCAAACTATAATAATGGCGTGGTCAAAAGCATGGGGTCCACAAATTAGCGCTATGTAGAGTAATCCATCGGATGCCAAATGCCGTGATGAACAAATTGATGGATTAAGCTATTTGTTGGCCGGAATTTACGCAAAATATTTCCACACAATTTTTCAACATTGGTCGATTTCCTTAAGTCGCAGGGTGCATTAATGGTACTATGATAAACATAGACGCCCCTAAGGTTACTGAGTACCAGTTTGTTAATTGGTACGGAAATCATTCAATTAATGCAATATGGTTTTTGTGTTTTTGTTACTGAATTATTTTGGCAAGATACAAATAAATAATCCTTAAATATGTGTATTCTTTTGCAACCGAGCTACAAAAGAACACTCGTTTAAATGTCAGTTTACATGCGAAACAACAACACAACTCGTGTAATATATACGAGTTAATTTCAACTCGTATAACGTTATACGACCTGAATCGGTGTGCTGCCAAGTTCAATTATTGCGCCATTGTGAATGATTTTGGAAGGAAATTGGAAGGCTTCCATTCAAATGTCAAAATATTTCGACGAAGATAGGAAAATAGAAAGACGAAAAATGGAGCAGCGGTAAGTAAAATTTTAAATGATTTATTTATTTCCGAAATATTGAAAAAAGTTTTGGTTTATTTTAAGGATGGAAAAAACTACAAGAAGGAGGTGGACACAGGAGGAATCTGAGGGTTTTTTGCGGTGCTACTTGGCTCGCAAAGCCGAATTTGAGCACCCAAAGAAAAAGCGTCAGGCATACGCTAATACACTTGAGGATATGATATGCTTGGGTATTACGGTATGTAATTATTTTACTGATTATTAATTCTATAAAACACTTAATTATTGTATTCTCAGGATTCTGGGAGAACACCGCTGTGTTTGGAGGGGAGGATGCGCACTTTGCTACAAGCCTATAAGGCAGCACGCGACAACAATAACCGCACAGGTTCTTCTCCGTGCTTCGACCCGTACATGGAGCTAATGGAGGAGATATTTGGGAGCAGCCCTATTATATCTAACTCCCATACGCTGCAATTGGGCGATGGCCCAGTACAAATGTTAGAGGAGAGTTCGCCCATACCAGCACCCTCACCTCCGTCCAGCTCCACAACGTCATCGCCGTTATCCCAGTCGGCACTCCCCTTAACATCATCGTCGCTGCCACGGTCGCCACTCCCCTTAATATCTCAATCAATGTCTCCTACTCATGCTAAAAGGAAACGTTCTGCGCGCGTACTTTATTATGATGAAAAATTGAAGAAAAAATTAAACAACGGGAAGAAAAGTTCGCAGCAAGGCAGGAGCTGCTTCGTCAAAAATGGGAAAAGAACAGGGAAGTGGAATTGAAAAAAGTCCAATTATTGGAAAATATTATAAACAAAATGTTATTGTTTTATTACTTTATTGTTTAAAAGGACGATTTACAAAATGTATCGAATATAGTATAACGGCGACTCCAAGATTCTGAACCTTAATTCCCATGAGTTCATTGTAAAGTGATAATAAAAATGAAGTTCGAAGTGGACAGATCGAGCGACAGCCGAATATTAGCCATTACTATTTTTGTCACTACATTTTGAATATAGAATGTTCTTTTCAATGAAGTGGTAAGAATAGTAATGGCTAATATTCGCCTGTCACTGGAATCTGGCCACTTCGAACTTCGTTTTTGTTACCACTTTACAATGCATTCATGGGAATTATGGTCCAAAACTTAGTAGTCAACGTTACACTACATTCAAATCATTTTGTGAGTCGTGCTTCTTAAATAATTAAGTAATAAAACACTTACACATAGTAGAAAAGGTCTGCGTACATCATTTCCTTTTTAAATATTCACAATGTTTTGCACGGATTTTCATCAAAATTGTGAACATTTTAACCAGAATTAAACGTTTTAACATTTTAATCAGAAGAAACTGTGTACTTAATTTGTTTTTTAATTCTGATTAAATAGTTTAAAATTTTGTTGAAAATACGTTGAATTTTCCTTAAATTTGTATAAAGCTTGAAACCTTGGTTTAAATATATGATTTCGTTTTAAGTATGATCCATATTTTTTATAAAAAAAATAACAAACAAGTTTTACCATGCAAAATATTGTGAATATTTAAAAAATAAATTATGTATCTACGCAGACTTGTTCTACATTTCTTGATTACATTTTCTAATTTTAATTTTAATTCGTTTATTAATGCTAACGAGAATAGTCTTGATTTTAGGGATAAAAAGTGATTTTAATTTTAACATTTATTTTTGTTTGGAAATAATTTTGATTTTATTTGAGTTTTTATAGTCTAAAGCTTACAGGTTCTAATAAAAAAATGTATATAAAAAATGAAATTTTAATTTTGACATTGGCTTTGTATTGAAACTACTTTCATTTTATTCGAATTTTTATAGGCTTTAAGTTAATTCTGTTGATATTTTTTTGAGCTCAAGGCCGGGTTGAAATAAAACAATCTGTTTTTGTTGTTTTTGAATCGTCTATATTTCGACTTCAGTCTGAAGTCATCATCAGGACTGCAATAAATATCTTAATTACAAAAATTGCATAAAAGACTATCAACATACTGTATATAAGCACAACTTACACATTCGGCTGCGCCTGGTAGACTAATGTGTGCAAAAATCAAAAGATTTAACAAACCAAACAATGAGACGAAATGGACATAAAAATATAAACAAATGAAAGAACAGTAATTGTAAACAAAAAATCATACAAACAACATTGCATTGGACGGCACACAGTACGACATAAATATGTATGCAAATCATCCAGCATTGCAATGTTATCATAGACGAAGTTCGGACCGGAACGAATAATAGACAATATTAGGCTTATTTGTTGTGCCTTAATATTATGTTGCGGTAGACATGTGCACAGTTTTCAGTGTCTGTTTTGAAATTCATCCTTTTATCATTAGGGGTGTTCACAATGTGGAGCATTTCTAATATAAAGCGTTTGTGGTAATTTTTCTCTTCTTCTAAGACACTCACATTATCAAAATCAGGGTAATGTCCCGTGTCTTTACAGTGGGATGACAAGGCCGTCTTGTTGTCCGAGTGAGTGTTCCTTAATTTTACGTTCGATTTGTGAGCGGACATCCTTGTCTTAAGTTCTGATTTGGTTGTCCCCACATATACATGGAATACTGTATACTACATTNGGATATAACATCAAAGCCAGAAAGTGCATCAAGAACTACCAACATTCTATAAAACGGATCACACAGCTATCGGAATCTACGAAATTCCTGGAGAGGTGCAGAAGAAATGGAGTAACTCCAAATTTTATCAACAACGCTACCAAAAACATTCTGTACACCATCAGCAACAACACCAACAACAACCAAATATCGGCGAAAATTTCTAACGCTGTGTCTGCTTATATCGACAAGACAAAAGTCAAACTTTTAAATCTCCTCATTAAAATTAAACACGAACTTCTGCGGCAAAAAGAAAGAGAGGTAAATATGTAAAAAACAAGAATAAAACAACACCTCAACACACGTGACTGCAGTGCATTCTTCCAAAGTGAGGAACTGCTGACGAACACATTGATAGAAAGTATCAAAACTACCCAACTTGCTAAGTACGAAAACTTAAGCCATAAAAAACAACTACTTTTAAACATTAGGGTGATACCAGAATGGATCCGTAACACGACTAGCATACAAATTCCAACTGATATTAAGTGGCTTCTTTCTCTGGGTCCTAAATATGCCTTACCCATAGACAACAAACAATTTCCACTATTTAAAGTCATCGCAGACGGGGAGAACTATATACAAACAATTAAAGACAAAGAGAAACAAGAGATGGAAAGAAACAACTTGACGACACTGTTACGTGACCACCTCAACAAGACGACAACTTCAGTTAGAGATAAATTTATAAATGATACCCTACGTTCTGCAAAAATGTTCTTAAAAAATCATAAAGAGCTTTTGATCCTTAATGCCGACAAGGGCAATGTAACTGTGTTGATGGATAAATCAGAATATGACATAAAAATGCAGACTATAGTCAACGATATTTCCACATACAAAGTTTTAAAACGTGATCCTACTAATAGACTACAGGACAAGAACAACGAACTAGTTGAGAAAATGTTCAGTAATAAAATTATTGATGTAAAAGAAAAGAATGCGCTTTTGTGTAAAACAGCCAATCCACCACGAATCTATGGCTTACCAAAGATTCACAAAGAAGGAAATCCACTCAGACCTATTTGTTCGTCCGTCAATTCCCCGTCTTACAATTTATGTAAATATGTCGTCAAAATCCTGAAAATGTCAAAGACGCGATCGAATTCAAGAACAAGATCAAGGATACATATGTTTATGATGATGAGAGTCTAGTGTCGTTCGATGTTGTGTCATTGTTTCCGAGTATTCCAGTGGATTTGGCCCTTGAAATCATAGCTTCAAAGTGGGAAGATATAAAAGAGTACACATATATGTCTAAAGAACTTTTTTTGACTGTGGTAAAATTCTGCATAAAAGAAAACCGCTATTTTAAATATAATAATAAAATATATGAGCAGCGTTCAGGTATGCCCATGGTATCTCCATCATCACTAGTTATAGCGGACATCATTATGGAAGAGTTACTCAAAAAATTCGAACAGGAGTCGGTCAAAAAGCCACGACTTCTTACTAAGTACGTTGACGATTTATTCGCTATAGTTAAAACCGAGGACACAAACGACATGCTTACAATATTAAACGGTCTCAGCAAATCAATAAAATTCACAATAGAAGTAGAAAAAGAAGGAAAACTACCTTTTCTGGACACCCTAGTGATAAGGAGAAACAACGAAATTACTATAGACTGGTACAAAAAACCGACGGCTTCGGGCAGACTTGTAAATTTCAATTCTAAGCAGGAAAGAAGAATAATTGTAAACACTGCCAAAAATTTCGTGAGACGAGTTCTCTCTATCAGCGACAGAATATATCACAACAAAAATATTTGCATTATTAAAAAGCTAATTCACAAGTACTATGTTCGTCCGAACGAAGAGAAGAAAAATGATGATTCAAATAAGAAAATTTACAAAACAGCAACTTATGTCCCAGGGTTATCAGAGAGAATCAAATTTTCCAATCTATATGATAAAGAGAACGTCCAATTAGTGTTTACATACGACAATACTCTGAGAAGTATATTTAGCAACACGAAAGACAGAATTCCCAAGCATGAGAAATCTGATGTAGTATACAGTATTCCATGTAATGGCGACGGGTCCCACGTATGCAAACAAGTATATGTGGGGACAACCAAATCAAAACTTAAGACAAGGATTTCCGCTCACAAATCGAACGTAAAATTAAGGAACACTTACTCGGACAACAAGACGGCCTTGCCATCCCACTGTAAAGACACAGGACATTACCCTAATTTTGATAATGTGAGTGTCTTAGAAGAAGAGAAAAATTACCACAAACGCTTTATATTAGAAATGCTCCACATTGTGAACACCCCTAATGATAAAAGGATGAATTTCAAAACAGACACTGAAAACTGTGCACATGTCTACCGCAACATAATATTAAGGCACAACAAATAAGCCTAATATTGTCTATTATTCGTTCCGTGTCCGAACTTCGTCTATGATAACATTGCAATGCTGGATGATTTGCATACATATTTATGTCATATGTGTGCCGTCAAATGCAATGTTGTTTGTATGATTTTTTGTTTACAATTACTGTTCTTTCATTTGTTTATATTTTTATGTCCATTTCGTCTCATTGTTTGGTTTGTTAAATCTTTTGATTTTTGCACACATTAGTCTACCAGGCGCAGCCGAATGTGTAAGTTGTGCTTATATACAGTATGTTGATAGTCTTTTATGCAATTTTTGTAATTAAGATATTTATTGCAGTCCTGATGATGACTTCAGACTGAAGTCGACATATAGACGATTTAAAAACAACAAAAACAGATTGTTTTATTTCAACCCGGCCTTGAGCTCAAAAAAATATCAACAGAAATTTCAACTAACGGCCAAATATAAATAAACAATGTCTTTAAGTTAAATTTTCTAATAGTCTCGTAACTCGCGCTTGAGTTTATGTAGGAAATGTGATTTTAATTTTAACATTTGTTTTTGTTTTAAACTTACTTTTATTTTATCTAAGGTTTTAGTCTTAAACTTAAATATTGTAATAAAAATAATTTCGTAGCTCACGCTTGAATGTATGAATAAATGTGATTTTAATTTTAACATTGGTTTTGCATTGAAACTACTTTAATTTTATTTGAGTTTTTAGTATTTAAGTTACATTTTCTAATAAGAATAATCTCGTAACTCACGCTTGAATTTGTGTAAAAAATGTGATTTTAATTTAAACATTTGCTTTGTTTTGAAACGACTTTTATTGTATCTAAGTTTTTGGTCTTAGAATTACATTTTCTAATAAAAATAACTTCGTGAAATTTATTTTTGTCTTGAAATTACGTTAATTTTATTTCAGTTTTTATAGTTTAAAGGTACAATGCATAATGTCCAAAATGAATTTAACAAGTGAAATAAATAGACAGATTACGCTTACTTGAAAATTAAAACGTAAGTAATTTTTGAAATTGGAAAAGTTAACTACGGCATTAATTTGCTGTGAAAAGGGAAAAAATTAACTTTCGTTTTTTAAATAAAAAATTTGTAGTTTTCGTTTTTAAGAAAAAGCACTAATTGACCGTGGTAACATAGCACCATCCACCATTGTCACCGGAACAAATTTACAGCTAAAAAGCTTTGACTTTTATTAATTTCGGTAACAGTAAGCCGAAACAGCTGAAATATAATTTAAAATTAAAATTTCATAGTTTTTCTATTTTTGAATGTTCAAACTACTTGTTCGGATGGCAGAAATGTTTTTTTTTAAATTCTCCTAGTGTTTAAGGTCACCGATTATTGCGCATAATGAATTACAGTTACATTCTTCTACGCGCATAATAGCCGAGAATGCGTTTGGGTATTTAAAGGGTCGCTTTCGGAGATTGCTTAAGTTTACTGAACAAATTGATTTAAAAGCTGTGACGAACGTAGTAGCCGGCATATATGGTTTACATAACATTTGCATCTCCATGGATTATTTATGTGAGAATAATGAAGTAAATTTTGAACAACTTGAGGAGAATATCGAAGAACCCAACCAGGACGGGCCTCTTGACCGAAGAGAAGTTCTGTTCAATCACTTGAGACGACAAAACATAATATAATTGTTTTAACTATTTATGTAAGTGTCACATTATTTAAATAACTAAACATTTACCTTTAAACTAATAAAATTATGTTATTTATATTTCCGCTCAAGACTAACATCACAAACCCATCTTCATATATTTAAA